CCAGTTAGTGAATCACACCTTGCCAAATAGAATTCTCTATTTTGTACTTTAAGAGAATGAGGAAGATGGGAAAAGAGGCTAAATGTATCCAAATTCAATATAATGTTTATAACTATTGTGATTGTAGAAATACTGTGTATATTATAAGAACAGTAATATTAGAATATTTTTATAAACAATTGTGTATCACTTAAGGATGCTTTATAATTTTAGAGATATTAGTATATGCAAGCTCAAGCTAGTAATCATTAACTGAAAATTTGAGGAGTACTTTTATTTGAATAATATTATATGTAAAGTCTTTTTAAACTAACAGCATTTGTATGAGAACATTTAACAGCTTCAAAAAATAAAAATAATATACTCTTAAATAATGGGGGAAATTAAGGCAAGATCAGAAAACAGAAAGTAAATAAAGTTGCTTCTAAATTGAGCATTTAATATACCCATTAATGTGCTACTGGATGAGGTCCAGAGTAACAGAGTAATCAAGTAAATCTGCTTCTGCGTTTTAGCTATCATTTTCCAATCTTAAGGAAATAACATATATCCATTCATTAAAACCTCTAGCTAGGCAATGTTGGCACATGCCTTTAAATACCGGCATTGGGAGTTAGGAGACAGAGGCTGGAGGATATCTATGAGTTCAAGACAAGACTAGTTTCCAGAGCAAGTTCTAGCACAACTGAAGTTCCACAGAGAAAACCTGTGTTAAACAAACAAACAAACAACTCTCTTATTCTTTCTGGATTTGGGTGCACTTTTCCAGACCTTTGTCTACAATAGTCTGGATTCACCCCCTTAATTCTGTGACTTTTAGATATATTCCATTGGAATCAAGTTGCATTCTATTACTATCGAGAGGCATTTATGTGTCATTTAATAATTATAAACAAGTGAATTGACATTCAGTGTATGAAGCTCAGATTTTTTGAGTACTTGAAAAATTATCAATATTATTTGTGATGAGCTTATTTACTTAATTATATTAAAAATATTTGCTCCAATTTTCTCAATAAATCTAAACTCTTAATTATAACTGCGATCTTTATTCATTATTTTGTATATGAGAAATCTATTGTAAGTTTTATATAATAGACTGAAATGTGTGGGACATTGTAAAGTATGATAACAAACGACTTCTAAACTATTAAGCAATAATAAAGGAAAATAACATCTCCTAAAGAATAGCAGATATAAAAACAAAGTTATGTATTTAGGATTGACATACACACATTTATGTATCTAATTATAAAATACTTAATTCACATTAGCATACTTATGCATAAAAGTAAAATAGCTACTTAGTGAAGAATATAATTAATGAGATTGAATTTTAAAATTAGAATTAATTTATAATAAAATATTGCTTGTAAACTATAAAACAAGTTTAGTTAGGCTTCCTGAGTAGGAATTCTGACTCAGAAGAGCCTTAGTTAAATTCCCAAGAAACCATATGAAAAACAGTTCACAGTCATGAGTGCTCCAATAGTACTTGATATCCGTGACTCACCTCAGTGCATACACATTAAAAGAATATACACAAAGTCATATGAAAATAAGAACAAATAAAACAAAAGTTATTAAACCAGAGAATATGAACACTTAATTGGAAGAGAGTAATTTAACATGCTTATACATAGCAAATATGTATACTCATCCATACCTATGCTCATACACACAGAGATATATGCATATGGCTAATATGCTTAGGAAAATGAGCAGTGTCATTTTCATATGAGTTGTGTAGATGTATATTTAAATCATATTATATACCATTACATGGTCATCAGAATGGTTAATCTTAAAAATATGAACAAAACCAGAGGTTTAGGGAACTTCAAATCAGTTAGAGCACTACAACATTCCTGGCATAAATATAAATTTGTACAACCAATTTGATGGTTTCTTATAACTGTAAATATACATTTACCATATGCTACAGCAATTGCATTCATAAATATTTAAGCAAGATAAATGAAAACATATGTAAACAAAAACCTGAAGAGGGCTGTAGTCTTAATAGTCCTGAATTAAAAACATTCAAATACCCATAAATTAAGAGAACAAACTGACCTATATATACATACCAAATGGAAATATTTTAAGGGCTTAATTTTGCAAGCTAGCTACAGATATATAAATTAATATTTAAGCTATAATACTATTCTATAATTATATAATTAGTTTTATTAAATTTCTGAAACAACTTTCCTTAATGAAATGAGTCATAAAATCAAATCAGTGTTTTCCTGAGATAAGGAATGAAGAAATACCACAAAATAGTCTCTTGGCAAGACATAAATATTCAATGTCTTAAAAGTCATAAAATTTTCCTGAGTTAATGCAAAGTTATTGATCATCTTGGGTACAACAAAGTGCATGTTATTAAAGAAATTTATTATTTCCTTGAATTATTTTTATAAAAATTAGAGTACAACAGAATGAGATGGAATAAAATCTCAGTGGATCTTTGTTCAGCCAGTTTATATATCAATTGATTCAGTGTGGAAATAAATATTTGGCACTTGTAGAAAACTTATCTTTATGGAATCAATGAAGAACCAAATAGTGCAATCAGTATTTGATCATAAGTATGAAAGAATGTCTATAGATTTCTACACATAGCACTAAGACATGTATTTGATACAAAGAATATGTAAACTAAATAAATAACTAGATATGTTATAGAATAGAATTTAAATTGTTATTTTATTATGTATTTTAAAAATAATATGCAAAGAATATAGGGGCTTAAATTTCTCTGCTCCTGAAAAGAATAATGTATGTTATTAAACCATTCAATAAAAACAAATTTTTGCTTGTGCATCCTGTATTTGTATGTATGTGACTTCTGAGCTGACAACATGGTATTGAATATGCAACTGGGGGACTCTTTCCTGGTGAATGTTATTACTATTACTATTACTTTAGATAGACCTTAGTTATTTGTATAGCATTCAGATCCTGGGAGCCATCCATGTTAAATGTGACCATATCTATTGCTATTGTCTTATTCATCATTTATTTAAATGGCCATGTTCATGAGACTTCATGGGTTTTGCTTCTCTGAAATTTCTGATAGACACAATTTCACATCAGATTTCCTGTTCCTCTTGTTCTTACAACCTTCTGGCTTCTATTCTATGATGTTTCTTGACTCCTGTGTTGCAGATGTGAGTTTAAGTTAGGTAGCCACGGGGTCAATTGTTATCTACAGTTTCATCAGACGATGATGTTTTACATATTTAGTTTATATATTTAGGTATGTGTGTGTATTTATGTAGATAAATAATTAATGAAATGAGGCCATAATATTGAGAGAGGGGAGCTGGGGAAGAGATATAAGTGGTTGGATTGAGGAAATGAAAGGGATAAAAGATGACATTTATTTTAATTTCAAAAGCTAAAAAAATCTAAAAAGTACTTTTTCTATGTGGATGATAGTTTTCTTCGTTTTCATTTGTTTAAATCTGTATCAAGCCTGAAGAGTTTTCTCAATATTTAAGAGTACTGGTTGCCCTTCCAGAGTACCAAGCTTTTATTCCTTGTACCCATCCAGAATTTATAACTCCACTCACAGCAATTTAGATGTTCTCTTCTGTTCTGTGGGTACAATGCACCCAAGTGGTGCACATAAATATATGCAGGCAAAAGCCCAAAAACTACAAGGAGGAATAATGAGTAGCCTGTGAAGTTATGCTCAGGAGTGCAATAAAGCTTTGAACAACAGGGGTAATTAACCATTTTTAAGTCCTACTCTAAAATGAAATCCACAGTTAGTACCATTATCCATCCAAGAACCTATGATTAGCAGTTCATAGGCCACAGGTAAAAACCTACTATTATTTTACTGCTAAATTATCTTCATATAAAATAGACTTTTAATAACTGATTGCTATTCCATAGTTCATTGCTTCTCTTAACCTTTGTCTATTTGCAGTAGATAGTGATTAACAAAGATGCCCACAACTGTCGAAGATGCAGAAAAAATAGGCTACTTAACCGTAAGTGAAATATATATGACTCATTGCCCCCTGTAAAGATTCAGGGATCACTCAGGGAGAGGAGGAAGAAGAAGCATAAGAGTCAAAGGCTATTGAAGACTATGAGGAAATAATATCATGTGGATGCAGCAGAAGAGCTGCACATATTAATTTATAGTGGTTGATAGAGCATCCACAAGACTCTTAGAAACATAAGCAAGACCATATCCTATCATGGAGAGGACAGGTGTTCAAGAAATCCCACCCTTGTTCATTTGGAGCAGACTAAAATGATCACAAGTGATCAATTTATACTCTTGCATGCCAACATCATCTTAGTGCATGTAACAGTGAAAAGTCCTCAATTTTTTCTTATAATACTTTATCACATTTTGGCATTTGGAGATGGGGTGGGACTAGGGGATTAATGTGTGGAGATCATAGGATAACTGTAGATTCCAGTATTCTCCTTTTACTATGTGGGTACTAGGTATTTAACAGCAGGCCATCAAAGCCTATCAACAGAGTCCCTTTATCCATTGAGCCATCTTGGTGTACCAAGTCTCAATACATAGATACCACTTTTTGTATCTTTCCAAAACACTGAACTCAAATGCCTAAATAATGGCTTGTTTTGAGTCACTATTGAAAAGCTACTAACCATTTGACAAAAAAACTTATCTCTTTTGTTAAACATAATCAAATTAGTTTGAAAATTTTAAAATTAGGATTGTAGAGATTGGTACAAGATAATAGAGATGCCACAAAAGCAAAGAAGTTGCAAAAGTTTAAAAATTGCTTAAATGAATCATCAATTTCTTCAAACAATCACACCTGTTTTCTAAATCTTCGACCCTGTGATTCTCCTACTCAGATTGCTTTCCTCAGTACTAATTTCTTTCCTCATTCATAGTAAACCTGACCTTCCCTGCACAATCTTCCAATATTGGGAAGTTACCAATACGGAGTCAGGTAGAAATATAAGGGTATTTAATAGGGAAAAGCCTTACTTACAGAGCGACCTAGCCAGCCAGTGTGGCAGCAGTCTGTACAGCAGGAAGCAAAGTGAAACCGAAAGAGCAAACGCAGTCACACTACGTCACTCTGACCACACCCTCACAAGCGTGGTCAGGCACACCTGTAGCCAGCCCCTAAGTAGGCATGGCTACAGCTTCCCCTACATCTTCCATTTCATTCTCTGCAGCTCTTGCATAGTGTTTTTTGCTTCACTTTTATCCTGTAGCACTTGTTCTACACCTGGGCTCTTCTTGGCATGTACAAATGATGGTGACCAGTGACACATAAAATCAGTTATGATAGACAATAAAGAGTACAAAAGAAAGGCGATGTACTACCTTTCTTGCACTTGTCTCAGAAGGTAATATCTCATATAGCTTTCACAAAAATAATTGTGTTCATATATTAAACAAATAAAAATGAGCTTTCATTTTATCCTTAGATAAAAATAACATTCACTGTACTATGGGAGAGTGACTGCTCTTATAAACTAGTGTTGTAAGTCTAGGGAATCTGAAGTTAAATTTTACATGAACACTGTTACTCTTCACAATAATTGAAAACAGCTTTTAGAAATTTTGTTATTTTGTTCTTTGAAACAGAAACACCTTATAAACAGATAATTCCACCTTTGCTCGATGTATTTTCATCAATTATGTTTCAGGACCTGAGAAACAAATTAAATTCACCCTTAAACTAGATTTTATCAGGCAGAATTTACAAGTAAGATATGCTCAATATATATTCTTTACAGAAAGGTAAGAAATTAAAATATCAGTTGAATGAAACAAAAATGCATTTTTTGAAATTGTCTACCAAGTATATTTCTTTCATTAGACTATTCTGAATGCACAATGGCAGCTTATTGTCCCAGGATGCAGGTCATTCGATGAACTCTGTGTGAGACCATCCTCAGGGTTTACATCAGGAAGATGATCACATTTGCTTCCTTCACTTTTCCTTCTAATGTTCACAATAAATTTCTATAGTCATCACCGTTTCCAGTTTAGATTTGTATTAATTTATATACCCTAGAAACAAGGTAGCACCACATTCCATCTTACATTAGTAAACGTAAAAATCTACTACCCAGTAGTAGTAAGTCTTAGTTCATTTTCCAATAAACAGAGCAGCAATTCATGATAAAGTGTGACATAATCTGCATTCTTTCCTAATTGTTTGCACACATAAGAACTTTTAAAAACTGATCCAATTTAACGAAATGACACAAGAAAGTAGTGTACAAGAAAACGAAGCAGAATATAAAAAGATCAAGGAAGCAAGTACACAATTGCAGTGTTTCAGTTACTCTCTGATTATAACAATACTCCTGGCACTGTTTGTTGTAAATGTACAATAATCAAAAATATTCATGAACAATATATAAGAAACCTAAACAACAAATATTGTTCAAGTGGCAGTTAATTACAATTACATTTCTGCTTGATTTAAAATTAAAAAAATCAAACAACATATTCTACAACTTTACAAACATCAAGATCCATTATCAGTGACTCTGTACTTAAATGCATCTTTTCCATTATGACTGAACTATCCTTTTCAAATTAGTCTGAACCATTTTATAAGAAAGAGTTTTCTCGGATGACAGATGAAACGCATAGTCTATTTATTACAATCTGCATTTTACTAAAACCTGTATGTGCAAGAGGAGGCAGAGAAATTATAAAAGCCAGGGGAGCAGCATATTGGAGACACAGCCATTACACATTTGAAATCTAAGAGTTCATGCATGCACAGGACTTACATAAGTTCAAAACTAATAAGATCTCAGGTATACAGAAAAGCCCACCTCTAACCAAGAAAGTATTTGCTATTGATATAAGCCAGGAGAGTGGAGTACAGCTTTATGCAATGAAGTGTCACTCGGCATATCAAACAGCCCAGTTCATGCTTTATGATCAGAAGTAGTTTGGAAAATACAAAATGGACTTCTCTTTGTTTTGTTCCTCCACCTTTCTCTCTCTGACATCAGAAAAGATCACATTGGTTAGGTAAGTAGGATCACAAGGGTTATTATAATGCATTGCTAATTAAGTCTACTTGGAAATGGAGTCATTTAACAAAATGCAAGTGCAGATTTGAAGTATCTTCCTTAGTTTTACTATGTGTTCGATACTCTCAGTCGGTTGCATGAATCTGAATCTATACTGGCCTGATGCTATCTTGTGAGTCTGTCCTTTGTCTCTGTAATACACATAGTATGTGTATTACTATGTGCGTCTATTGTTTGAGAAGCCTGTTACTGGTGTCTGTCTGTGTCCCTAACAAGACTTCATTCAATCTGTATTTCTTGAATAGCACAGAAAGCATTACATGAGGCAAAAAAATGGGATACATTATGTTATCTTTAATAGACAGGAGACTGTCTCCAATGGATACCAACTGGCCCAATTAGCAAACATCATTGTTTGTCAACCAATATTCATAAATGTTTGCTTGTAATCTTTATGTTAGATTTTGCAACTTGATTTCAATTTCTGTATTTGCTGCTTTCAGAAAATAATACACACGCATTATCTGGATCAGAGGCTTGGAAGAAAACATAACTTAAAATTGCAGCTATGAACTATCTTAAGCTGTAAAATGTGATGACATGGGTAATCTAAGGCAACTAGCTGTGATTGATGAATAGTTCTCTTAAATGCAGGTTATGCAAACAATTTGAATACACAATAAGCCAGCAGTCTTAAGTCTAAAGTAACCTCAAAGTACATTACTAACTATAAGTTTAAGGTCTAGTCAAAGTTCCAGTCTTTTAAAATGGAAGGATATTTTCATAATATTCCCTTGCTTGGGGTCAGGGATTTGGTGGAGTGGAATATGAAAAATAATATATTTTATGAAACAATTAAAATAAATTACAAACAATTATTCTTTTGTATATATGCACATGTGAGTGTGCGCGTACACACACACACACACACACACACACACACACACACACAAACTTATCCAAGCCAAGAGAGGTATTATTGCAAATCCTCCTAAAATCTCTGCATACACACAGCCTTTGTTTCTGTCCATAGAATGGGAGAAAATTACAAATAGAACAGATAGCATTGCATCTCTAAACTAATGGCAAGAAAATCACTGTGCTGTAATTTTGTTTTCAGTGCATAAAGTCTCTGCAATCAAAAGGAAATATACAATCCTGGCAAATGAGATGGCTGTGAATAGGATTATGGTAACAATGTTAAGTTTAAAATAAACCAATATTTGGAAAATTGGATGCTAAGAAAATGTTGTAATAATGTCACTGGGAAAACAATCAAGGTGTGTGGCTCTTGATTGAAAAGGTAAGCTGATCCCACTAATGGTACAGAGAAATATAATTCTCTGCTGCTGTTCCATATCATCATGAGTACAATTAAGAGAAGCTCACCGAATTTGCACCAGAATTATTCTTTGTGAAGGCATTATCAGGTACTATTGGTAAACCAGGTTTTCTTGCTCCTCTTTGTATTTGTTTTTTTCTTTATAATTTTTAAATCAGTAAATAACTTTATTTTTCCTTTTATTTTTATGTAAATTAGAAACAATCTTATTTTACATATCAATCCCAGTTCCCTCTGGATCCCATATTCCTATGCCCCCCACCAACACCGCTCTCCCAGCCTGCACCCTTCCCACTCTCCATCCACACCCCAAGGAAAGGGAGGCCTTCCATGGGGGGAAATCATCAAAGTCTGCGGCTTCATTTGGGGCAGGGTCTAGGCCCTCTGCCTGTGTATTTAAGCTGAGAGAATATTCCTCCATAGGGAATGAGCTCCCAATGTCCATTCACACACTAAGAAGAAATACTGGTTTCACTGCAAGAGGCCCCATAGAATGCCCAGGCCTCCTAACTGTCATCCAGGTTCAGGGGCCCTGGTTTGCCAAGAATAGGAGCACATGGACCCCATGTGTTGTCTGGGAGGCAAGTACAGGACTGATCCAGACCCCTGATCATGGATGTCAATGAGGAGGCCTCCACACTCTATGGATCAGTATTTTTCCCTGGTGTAAGAAGGGACTTTGAGAGCCCATCCTACATGAAGGGATGCTCTCTCGGCCTGGACAGATTGGGGAGGACCTAAGCCTGGCCCAGAATGATGTGGTGGACTTTGGAGCACCCCCATCCAGAGCCATACCCTGCCTGGGGAGTGGAGGGGGTAGGAGGTGGGTTGGAAGAGTGTTGGGGGGAGAGGAGGGAGAGGGAGAAGGGATTGACATGTGAAGCAAGCTTGTTCCTAATTTGAACCAATAAAAATTAACTAATTAATTAAACAACAACTATATAAAAGTTGTGCATCCAGAATTACACAATTCAGGAATCCTCTAGTACACACTCCCTTGGGCAAAGAAACTATCTTCAGTAACTGTGCAGTAAGTCCATTTTTTGGAAACTATGAAACTGGAAATTTATTTGAAAGCAACAGCAGAGTGCCAAAGATGTGAGCATTTAAAATGTCCCTGTCTAGAATATCAAGGAAAGTCATATTTCAAAATGTACACATGCAACAGCATGATCCATAACCTATTGAAGTCTCTAAATACAATTCTTAAAACCTATAATCAAGTGTTAATAACTACACTATAATCAATGTACCCCAGAGCAGTATTTCCTAAAGTGAAAGCTGGGCAGCTTTCCAAGGCCTGTTAAAAGGTCACAATTGCAGCCATGGGAAAGCTTTGTGCTGGCATTCGTAGAAGACAAATCTCAGAACACAGCTCTCCAAAGCACAGCCATTAGTCAGTCCTCTATCACTCCCCCCTCTGTGTGAGTGTGTGTGTGTGTGTGTGTGTGTGTGTGTGTGTGCCTGTGCGTGAGAGAGAGAGACAGAGAGAGAGAGACAGAGAGAGAGAGAGACAGAGAGGGCAAGCTACGACATAGCAAACTGTCCATATATGATAGGTATTTGATGAGGATCCTTAAATAAACTACGGGGCTTCCTAAATTAGGCAAATGACCCACAGACTCATTTTTAAAGGAAAAAATATTGTGCTCAAAGTAGCATATGTGTTCATTTTA